GAGAGAAAGAGAGAGAGAGAGAGAGAGGAGAGAGAGAGAGAGAGATGAGAGAGAGAGAGAGAGAGAGAGAGGAAGGAAGAAAGAAAGGGCCGGATCACCTCTCTCCCAAACGTCGGTTCTTATACACAAGCCACAGGAAGGACACCATTCTTTTAGGGCCGAGTTTCGTCGATATTAAAGTCGAGAGATCAAGAGAGAGGAGGATGATAGGAAAGATTGACACGGAAGAGCAGTGGAAGAGGATCAGGAGGAAGAGGGGAGATGAGGAGGCTGATGAAAAGGATCAGAGGAAAGGGCAAGATAGCCGCTAACTATGAGAATCAGCAACCGGAGGTGGAAGAGGTCTATGAGAAGATCAAAAGTTACTCACGAGGAAGAGGGAGACAATATGCAGCCGAGAGAAGTGATGTCAAAGATGCAATATATCTTGATAATGACTTCACCTGTGCAATAAATATACAAATATACAGCAAAGGCCAACAATTGAGATGAAAGTACGGGTCAGCAAACAGACTTCAGTGTGTGTGTGTGCGTGCGTGTGTGTGTGTGTGTGTGTGTGTGTGTGTGTGTGTGTGTGTGTGTGTGTGTGTGTGTGCGTGTGTGTGTGTGTATTATTATGGTCATGCAGCATGACATCGCTGGACTTTCTTTAGGGAGCCATACTTACCCCAAACCCAGCATGAAAGCCTACCAGGGAGCTCTGTCATATGTCGGTAGTGACATAATTATTAGACATCGTGGGAGGAACCCCTGAGACGTCAGCGTATCCTCACGTGATTGGGCACATCACTTGACACTTTTTTATTTTTTGGGGTTATGGCATAGACTGAGGGCGCTCACCCCAGGTGCTCACCCCAATTGCTCACTCCAGGTGCTCTACAGTCATTAGAGCTCTGAAACCCTATTACTCACTAAGGCAATCACTCCGAACAGCCTCGAGAGTCCAGTATTTTCAGGCTCACGTTCACATCTCTGATGATTCGAGTGAATGATGACTTACAGTGTTGTGGTTCTTGACCCTTGAATGACTTTGGTGAAGGTGGAGGCTTTTACCATCTCCAGATACCTGACTGGTGCTCCAAGGAAGGTGTTTAGTCTCAAGGACCAGTTATAGGTATTTCTATCATCCTGATTGTCTGCATCCCTGGTCTGATTATCAGCATCCGTGGTCTGATTGGTAGGACACTGATCTTGTATTTCTCATGCCAGATCTCCAATCTCCGATAATTCTAGCGAATAAAACATGTTCTCTCAAGAGACGAGGAGACTTGAGTGAAGAGCTCAAGAGACTTGAGATGACATCTACGAGCCACAGTCGTTGCCACAGCGACCAGCGACACCAGCATCTTGCCTATTTATAATAACTCTGTTGTCGTTAAGTGTAATTTGTTGTGATAGTGGCTCTTGCAAGGAGACTTTAGGGACTTGAGGATGCTTTGTGTGGTGGGGCCCAGGCTCACTCCTTGTCTAAGACAGTGACCATTGTCTCACTCTACCGCTAGTGACATCTCGATATTCTGAGGTCTCACCCTCGCAGTAACTCTGTTTTCTGTTGTTTAGATAGTTCCTTATCTATTGCGACACCTTATCTGTTTCTCCTGTCCGTTTCTCCAACTTATGTAACAGATTCTTATAGGGTACTGTATCAAAATCATTCTGATAGTCAAAGAAAATGCATCCTGCCCACCATTTTTTTTGCTTAAAGTCTGTCGCCTGGTCATAGAATTCTTTTGAACCCGTGAGGCACGATTTACCATCCCTGAATCCATGTTGGTGTTAGTCTCTTTTGTCCAGATGTGCTGCAAGTTTTTTTTCTCACGGTCTTCTCTAGCGCCTCGCACGGTATACAAGTTAAGAACACTGGCATGTAATGTAGGGCCTCTTGCCTGTCGGCACTTTTTGTGTATTGGGACTACATTAGCCGTCTTCCATATTTCTGGCAGGTCTCCCGTCTCTTGTGAGTGGAAGCTGGAGACCTACTGTACCAGGGAGAGTGGCAAGCAAAGTGCTCCTACACACTAATATCCATGGGGAGATTCCGGCAGGTTCAATAGCCTTTGGAGTATTAAAAGTATCAACACAAGACAGAACATGAAATAATGGGTATAAATTGGATAAGTTTAAATTTTGGAAAGACCTGGGTAAATACTGGTACGGTAATAGGGTTGTTGATTTGTGGAACCAATAACTGCATAACGTAATAGAAGTAGGATCCCTTGATTGTTTCAAGCGTAGGTCAGACATATATATATATATATGAATTGGGTGGTTATATATTGGAGCTGCCTCCTATGGGTTAATTGGCCTTCTGCAGTTAATTTTGTTCTTATGTTCCTCACGTCTACATCCATCAGATATCTTTTAACCTCATCCGTGATAACTTCAAAATCTTCGTAGGTTGCTTGGCTTATCACTACGTCTGTTAGTTCCGGGATTTCCCCTTGCTCTATTGTGAAGACATCCTGGAATCTCTTGAGTTCAACACATACTTCCTTGTACCCAGCCTCTCCATTTCTCAGTTTCATTAGCTGTTCCTTTGTTTTCCCTCCTGATGTGCTGTGGTGCAATTTTCGTTGGCTTTTGGGTTTATTTGCTATGTCATTTTCATGCTGTCTCTCCGCTTCTCACTCTGAGTGTACTTAAATCGGGTACAAGTGACAGGATGAACAACCCAGCGGGTTTTCTTCCTTTTGGGGAGTGTTGTACGTGCTGCTATGGCGGTGTGTCCACTCACAGGATGAGTGGCGCTGCCCAATACTGTCACTATGGCGGTGTGTACACTCACAGGATGAGTGGCGCTGCCCAATACTGTCACTATGGCGGTGTGTCCACTCACAGGATGAGTGGCGCTGCCCAATACTGTCACTATGGCGGTGTGTCCACTCACAGGATGAGTGGCGCTGCCCAATACTGTCACTATGGCGGTGTGTCCACTCACAGGATGAGTGGCGCTGCCCAATACTGTCACTATGGCGGTGTGTCCACTCACAGGATGAGTGACGCTGCCCAATACTGTCACTATGGCGGTGTGTCCACTCACAGGATGAGTGACGCTGCCCAATACTGTCACTATGGCGGTGTGTCCACTCACAGGATGAGTGGCGCTGCCCAATACTGTCACTATGGCGGTGTGTCCACTCACAGGATGAGTCCCGCTGCCCAATACTGTCACTATGGCGGTGTGTCCACTCACAGGATGAGTGGCGCTGCCCAATACTGTCACTATGGCGGTGTGTCCACTCACAGGATGAGTGGCGCTGCCCAATACTGTCACTATGGCGGTGTGTCCACTCACAGGATGAGTGGCGCTGCCCAATACTGTCACTATGGCGGTGTGTCCACTCACAGGATGAGTGGCGCTGCCCAATACTGTCACTATGGCGGTGTGTCCACTCACAGGATGAGTGGCGCTGCCCAATACTGTCACTATGGCGGTGTGTCCACTCACAGGATGAGTGGCGCTGCCCAATACTGTCACTATGGCGGTGTGTCCACTCACAGGATGAGTGGCGCTGCCCAATACTGTCACTATGGCGGTGTGTCCACTCACAGGATGAGTGGCGCTGCCCAATACTGTCACTATGGCGGTGTGTCCACTCACAGGATGAGTGGCGCTGCCCAATACTGTCACTATGGCGGTGTGTCCACTCACAGGATGAGTGGCGCTGCCCAATACTGTCACTATGGCGGTGTGCCCACTCACAGGATGAGTGGCGCTGCCCAATACTGTCACTATGGCGGTGTGTCCACTCACAGGATGAGTGGCGCTGCCCAATACTGTCACTATGGCGGTGTGTCCACTCACAGGATGAGTGGCGCTGCCCAATACTGTCACTATGGCGGTGTGTCCACTCACAGGATGAGTGGCGCTGCCCAATACTGTCACTATGGCGGTGTGCCCACTCACAGGATGAGTGGCGCTGCCCAATACTGTCACTATGGCGGTGTGCCCACTCACAGGATGAGTCCCGCTGCCCAAAAAACTCGCCCCTCGGGGCAAAATTTAATAAAAAAAATCTGGCCTGCTGGTATCTTTCTCTTCGCTCTCTCGGGTTCTGTTGTTTCTGCAGTGTCTCCACGCTCTTGTGCTTTGCTTCCTTATATGCCTGATCAAACCACTAATTCCCTTTATGCTTTTATCTTTGTCTTTTGGGCCTAAAATAAACTTGTGTTCTGCCTACTAACACTTCTGGACACTTCTGGGTGATGTAGTCCTCATGTCTTGTACAGACTTTTCTCCGCGTTCTGTTTCCTGCAATATTTCTATTAGGAATTTTCTCGATCCATCATATTATGGGATGAGAACATTTTTAGTATGTCATTCTTTTACTTTCTGACCTAGTTTAGGTTATTCCCATTTCCATCAGATACTTACATGTCAGTACACTGTGGTCACTCATTCATATACGGGGTTTCTAATATAACTTCCCTTATGTCTGTTGACCAGACCACACACTAGAAAGTGAAGAGACGACGACGTTTCGGTCCGTCCGAAATCATTATTATCCGTCCATTATCAAGTCGATTGTGTTTCCCTTATGTCTGACTCGTTCAGGGTGAATATCATATCAAGTTTGGCTGATTCATCATTTCTTCTTGTTCTTGTGGGTCCCTAGACATGCTGGCTTAGAAGGCATCTTATCGCCATGTTTATTCATTTAGAACTCTGTGTCTGTATCTCCATATGGTTCTCTTTTCTCCAAGTCAGTCTTTCCAGTCGTCAGTCTTCACGTCCCTCAAGATTTATAGTCTGGATTTCTTCGTGCAGGTAACAAAAGGTGCTCTCACTATTATATTTATGGTTGCCTTGTTGTTTCTGTCTTACCCCTATCTTGAGGTTATCTTGAGATGATTTCGGGGCTTTAGTGTCCCCGCGGCCCGGTCCTCGACCAGGCCTCCACCCCCAGGAAGCAGCCCGTGACAACTGACTAACTCCCAGGTAACTATTTACTGCTAGGTAACAGGGGCATTCAGGGTGAAAGAAACTTTGCCCATTTATTTCTGCCTCGTGCGGGAATCGAACCCCCGCCACAGAATTACGAGTCCTGCGCGCTATCCACCAGGCTACGAGGCCCCTATAGTGTGATCTGTGTGTAATTCCAACAGCACTTTCCCTGGTGATTGCTCTGTGAGGCTGTTTGCCTTCACAGCCTTTCGATGAGGGCTTTTGAGGACAGGTTCAGTGTGATATCAACCCCCCAGATCTTTCTCTGTGTGTGTATGCCTTAGTGTCTTAGTTTTCCAAATACAACATAATTACATTACTTTTTGGGATTTTGATTTTAAATGCGTTTTTATAACGTTACTTAAAAGTTATAAAAACGTTGAGTACTCACCTAGTAGTGCTAGGTGAGTACTTAAGAACATTTTTTGTTGGAAAAACACAGACAACAATGAAAGCATAAGTGTTGATTACGTTGTGTTTCCTGGGTTATTATAGGTTTAATAATGTTGAATTATACGATTATTCCTCTAATTTGATTAACATATATTTGCTATTTTTGTAATTCTTTTGTAATTTTTGTTATACTTTTATTAGGAGGATAATTGATATCTGTAATTATGTGCCATTAAAAGCACTTTAAACCAAAAAATAGAGAATAAAACACAGCTTAATATAAAGTTTATTCATCAGTGACGTAGAGATGACAATAGAGCTGTACAAAACCACGTGTGACATGACCAAGTGACATGTCATGACCAAATACTTGACGTGACTAGCAACATCAAGTGACCATGTTTCTGGTTCATTTTCTCCACACACACACACACACACACACACACACACACACACACACACACACACACACACACACACACACACACACACGCAGCACAGAACTGGGGACTTCTTAAACCCCATATAGGGGAAAAACATCAAACACTTTCTAATTATTTCTAAATAATTAGAAAGTTTCCATTATGCCAGCAAGTACCTCTTTTCATGTTTTTGCTGAGGCTTTTGTATAATAATACATTGTAAAAGGAGTTATAGAAAAATAAAAACATGAGACACACACACACACACATGTAGATATTTATGAGGGGTTCTGTCATAAATTTCTGTTATGAGGGTTTCTGTCATATTTATGTTTGGTTCTGTCCTGTAGTTCTGACAGCTTGGAAATATGAGGAAATTGTTCTAATTGAATTTTTATTGAGAACACAATTGAACAAAAATTGGTATTAAATCTTAGGATTTACTAGTGCACAGACCATGCAACCCAAACGGTGGTGATGTAATATATATATTACAATATATATGTAACAATACGATTACAATATGTATGTAATATATATATGTAAGGTCATATGTATGCTTTGTTTAAATACAATAAGTTACAGACGCTTTGTGATGGATAAGAATTGTTTGCTCAAATGGTTTTAAGAATTTAACAATATTTTTATATGTATTTTGGACAGAGAGAAATGTTTAACATGTATATTAATATATATTTTTTTAATTTGAATGTTCCTCTCAGCATAGCGCGTATACAATGTTGTGATGTGAATAGTTCTATACATTAGAATGCCTGTTCGAGGATGGAATCCAGATTCTTGGGGCTATCCTGACCCTACTTTGCTCCCTGATTCCTGTAGGGTACATGCCCAACAGGGTCTGGGCGGTGTTCAGCAGAATTCAACAGGGATCAGCATGCCACAGCCATAGGTTCCCCTTGACAATTTTGGCAGTGGCATCTCCTTCCATTTATCAAAATACTTTGCAAAAAATATAAATAATATTTCTTGTAATATTGTATTTTAAAACATTATTCACTGATCACAGTAAAATAGAGAGATTTTTTCATCTCATACTTTGGCATTAACAGTGAAAGCAAGTCACTACCATCCCCCAGACCACTCAGTCCTGAGGCTCCCCCACCAAAACTCTCCCATCAGATGGGAGAGAGGGAGACGGACAGGGAGAGGAAGAGAAAGATGGGGAAGGAAGGAGGTAGAGTATGGATAGAGAGGGAGAGAGAAGAAGAAGGATAGAGGAAGAGACAGAGAGGGATAGTCAGAAAGAGGGAGAGAGAGATAGTGATGGGGAAGAGGGGATAATGAGAGATGCATAGACCCGGCTGCCCCTTCAAGTATATATATATATATATATATATATATATATATATATATATATATATATATATATATATATATATATATATATATATATATATATAATATTCTTTTCATGCATCTAAAGGAAAACAAAATGCAATTTGTTAGTCATTAAGAGGATCTCCCTGACGAGGATAATTTTAAAATCTTATGAATAAGTAAAACGCTTCCCATTAAGAGATCAGAATATATAATTACTTCATATTTATGTTCTATTAGGAGCAGGCCTTTAAGGTGCAAACAGTTGATGATACTTCTTAATTAATAAGTGAAAGATCTCGTGCAGAAAAGTGCATCCAGAGTGTCTGGCACTGTGCCACACTAATCCTTAAGTGTGTCCGGAACGTAGAGAGAGAGATGTAGTTGTTGTTGTTAAAGATTCGCTACCTGGAACAAAGTTCCAAGTAGCACGGGCTATGGCGAGCCCGTAGTTTTATATTGCGTTACAAAGTGTCTCATCCTTAAAACACAAGTCACATAAAACAATCATAATACATAATAACAATCGTAATGACTTCCTTAACAAGTCATAAGACATGTTAGACTAGAATAAAAATTCAATGGCTAATAATTAATAAAAAAAAAATGTTGTATCTACACTTGTTTGAATCCCAGAAATGTTACTGAGATTCAAAATGCTACAGCACATATCACTTCCTCCCCCACCAGGCATTGATATTATGTTTAATTGTTATCTTGAGGTTATCTTGAGATGATATCGAGGCTTACCGTCCCCCCCCCACCCCCGCGGCCCGGTCCTCGACCAGGCCTCCTTTTTGTTACACACACACACATTCCAGGAAGCAGCCCGTAACAGCTGTCTAAACTCCCCAGGTAGATATTTACTGCTAGGTAACAGGAGGCATCAGTGTGAAAGAAACTTTTTGCCCATTTGTCTCCGCCTTCACTGGGGATCGAACCCGGAACCTCAGGACTACGTGGGTGCAGTCGCTGTCGTGACCTAATCTCACCTTAATGCGCGTCCTGACGAAGGAAGGATTTTTTTAATCGAAAAAAAATCATAAGTGTTCTTAACTTCGTTATTTTTTATTTGTTGCAACTTAGATCTGTCTAGGGTTAGGACTGAAGTATCGCGATTCCTTCTCGCACATAGATGGAAAAATGTAATTTGGTTTCTATATTTTAATTTTTTTTTTCAGTAAATCCTGTAACATCTAGTTCATCTATAATCATTTAACTTTCGGAAATCAACTCTGGCAAGGCAAATTCCAAGTATAGAATCTTGATCGTGAATTTTGATCCTTTTTTTTTTAAATTCCACATTTTGTAAGCAGCATTTTCTAAAATTCTAACACGCGTCTATACACAAGAATGTATCGTCTTGTTCTCACCTAAGAAGATTCAACACTAACGGTGGTGTTGAATCCTTCGTGCGAGAGTCCCAGTGGTGATTTAAATGTTAAACTCTGTGAATGGTAAAAGTTAATTCAAGTGACATTGAGAGTTTAATCACTTGTCTGGAGAGTTAAATGCCACTATCAGACACCTCTGATAGTGGTGTCTTCAGGCGTCTAAGATCATCACCTGCTGGAGAGAATCTAATTAAAAAAAAATTAGAATATAAAAATTACAAACGTAGCCTTAAACCGTTATAATATAGATTCCATAAAAACATGGCTTATAGGAACCCTATAAATACACAACCACAACGTTATATATGTTATAAAAAAACGTAATAACGCTTCAGTAGTCTGGTTACAATGTCTGTGTCTGTGTGTGTGAGGCACTGGCTATATAGCCATGTTCCCTCGCTTCTAACTGAGAGGAATCGCTAGCTCCTTGCCGCCCAACTTCATTCTCTTCCTCTGGGACGATAGGCAGCCGGGGGGTTGGGTTGGGGGGAAGTTAACATCAAGTTACGTCCACTGCGAGATAATTTGGGCCAGTCGTTCTTGCCTCCAACTCCCGCCCTCTTCCCAGGGCAGGAGAGACGCCAGCGTGCAGTGAGGGGCCACCCACAACTGAAGACAGGTGTAAATAGACAAATATACATACTGGTAATGCAACGATTTCCAAACCTTCACTTGTGGGATCGTGTCAGGTGTCAGGTGAGTACAAAGTAGAACATATAATTGAAGTACCAGACATGCAAACATTTAAATTCATGTTTCAACGGATGTTGTTATCGTCTTGGGAAGGAATGTCAATTGTTTGACCTTTTTCCATTTAAAAAAAAAAACACAAAGTCTGCTGATTCATGAACAAGGATTTACATTCAGCAATAATTCAATAAGGATTCACACAGTAATACTTCATTAAGGATTTACACCCAGCAATAGTTCAATTTGTACATCAATCCACATCAATTACATCGTTTAGAACTACATGATCATATTAAGTATGAGCATCACTTAGCACAAAGTCCTGTGTCTTATTTCATTATTTTTCATCTCATCACTCCAAGTTCTTTACAGCGGCTCACGGAGACAGAATTGCCACGTCATTCACCAATACCCATCGATTATAATGTGGAATGCTATAGTGTATCATTATACTTCTACTGATTAAATTATCTATTGCTGGAATCTGAGCATCGAAAAACACTCGCAAACACCCAATGACGAGTTTGAGCAATTTCCTAGATAAGCTCGTTAAAGGCTCAAAATAAGTTTCCAGCTTCTTCAGACAATAACTGTGAATTAATGACACCTTACATGGATAATGTCTTATGACAATCTTATGTGAGTTTTTACACACAGGCACATTTATGTCCACCCCAATTTAACAGTCTTCTCCTCATTTGTGTTCTCCAATATTGATGACACGCAATAAAGGTTTCTCCCAAAAAATAATCCCAATCTCAACATGTGAACCTTTTCAAAAACTCTTCGAAAAGTCTCACTTTTAGTTCAAGAAGCAGGCTTACAAAATCTCTTTTTTTTCCCCTTGGGCACTGTTGTTCCAATTTTTTCCAACTTAGCATAACCGAGTGTGATCAAGAACGATTGGTTTTAATCCATCTTGAGCTCTATCCGAATCTTGGAATCCAAAGGACATACTATTCTGAGCTTGTCTGGTTTAGAACCTGGTCGATGCAAGGGCGAACTCATCTGCGTAACTATCAGCGCCCCCTCTGTTGACGAATCGATCTTGAAGTTGCCTAGAATATCCCTCCTCTTGCTGCCTGGGGAGTACATCATGACAGCTCCAGCGGTGTCCAGCTTGATGCTTCCCCGTGACTCCTGTTTGAAGCTGCCCGAGGAGCCTTTCCTTGTGGTCTCTGGCATTTCTAGTTTTAAGCTTCCTGGGGATTCCTTCTTGAAGCTCCCCGAGGGACTTTTGGTCTGGGCCTCCAGTTTGAAGCTCCCAGAGGGACTCTTGAAACTTCCAGATGGGCTGTTGAAGCTCCCTGACGGACTCTTCTTTGGAGTTTCCAGCTTGAAACTCCCTGGGGATTCTCTTTTGAAGCTTCGTGAAGGACTCCTCTGTGGGGTTTGCAGCTTGAAGCTCCCAGAAACGTTTTTGAAGTTCTCGGAGGGGCTTTTCTTTGGCGTTTCCAACTTGAAGCTTCCTGGGTAATCCCTTTTGAAGGTCTCGGATGGGCTCTTCTTTGGGGCTTCTAGTTTGAAGCTCCCTGGGTATTCCCTCTTGAAGACACCAGTTGGGCTTTTCTTCGGTGTCTCTAATTTGAAGCTTCCCGGATAATCTCTCCTGAAGTTCTCGGAGGGGCTCTTCTTTGGGGTGGCTAATTTGAAGCTTCCTTGAGATTCCTGTTTGAAGCTTCCAGATGGACTTTTCTTTGGAGTTTCCAGCTTGAAGCTGCCAGGAGATTCTTTCTTGATGCTCCCTGATGGGCTCTTGAAGCTTCCCGAAGGACTCTTGTAACTTCCAGATGGGCTCCTCTGTGGAGTGTGAAGTTTGCAACTCCCGGATGAGCCCTTTCTCGCGCTCCCCGGAGTATCCAGCTTGAAGCTTCCCGATGATTCTCTCCTGAAGATCCCCAGAGTGTCCCTTGTCAGGCTCCCGCAAGAGCCCTTCCTCGTGCTTCCCGGAATGTCCAGCTTGTAGCTTCCTGACGACTCTCTCCTGTAAGTGGCTGGGGATTCCGTCATGAATGTTCCACAAGAGTTTCTCCTCGTACTCCCTGGGATTTCCAGTTTGAAGCTTCCTGTCGATTCCTTCTTTAAGTTGGTTGGCCCCTCTTGTCTGTAAGTCCCCAGTAATTCCTTGTTCAGGATGCTGGAGATCTCCATACCTCCTGGAATGTCCAATTTGAAGCTCTCTGAAGGACTCTTGAAATTCCTTGAGGGGCTCCTTGGAGTTTCTCGCTTGAAGCTCCCGGAAGCGTTTTTGAAGCTGTCGGAGGGGCTCTTCTTTGAAGCTTCCAGCTTGAAACTTCCGCCCGAAGTGCTCCTCCTCGAGCTTTCCAGCTTGAAGCTGCCTGGGGAACTCTTCTTGGAGCTCCTGCAGTAGTCTTCCTTGAAGCTTCCTTGATACTCCCTTTTGCAGCTGCCACGGGAGTCGCTTTTGAAGCTTCCAGAGGCGCTCCTCCTCGGCTTGGACATCTTGAAGCTGCCTGGGGCGTCCATCATCACACTCTCCGGAGTGTCGGCCCCGCTGCTGCTGGTGCTGGTGCTTACCACACTCCTGCCGGAGGAACAACACACACTTCCTGGGATTACTGCCTAGGACTTGCCTTAAAGTAGTGAAGGAGTTTAATGATAGTGACGATGGGGGGGGGAGGAGATGAAACTTAATTTCATAGATAAATCTTTGTCGTGGAAGAGAAGCTATATTGTATTATAGCTACGAAGGTCTATATACATATGCTGTCGATTAAATTTAAGTCTAACTAAATTGCAATTCACAAAAACTTGTGCAAATGACAGTTTGAAGTATTTTTTAGTGCATCTAGAACCTTTACAAGGGACTATTTAGATTCTTTTCATAAATTAAGATTTTCAACTAGGGATTTTGGTCTATAACATTCGTATGTGCTTAGAGTCTATGTCTAACATAATAGTTAACTATGTTAACATACTCAAGTCAAGTGGCAGCTGTAAGGATTAGAACTCGTTCATCAAGTTTTTAAAACACTAGTAGTAAAAATCGCAATAAAATCACAATTACGTGATGTATGAATGAAAATCATTTTGAGGCCATTGTAATGACTCGAACCGGCGTTCTGGAGACTTCCTGCCACTCCATGGCCTTACCCACAACATCACACCTGTGCTCTGATCATCATAAACTTTATCAGGGAAGTTCAAATGACGTATGTAAGTGTTAAAGTTTTCCATCTAACTTGACCAGTGCCTCTGTGACTTGAGTGTGTTGATGTGACTTGTATAACACAACAAACAACATTATGTTGGAAAGACTTAAATGTTTATTTACGAGGGGGGGGGGGGAAGGGGTATAATACAGCACTGTTTACATACCAGGGAGGGAGAGGGGGTGGGGGGTGGGTAGCAAACACTGAAAATACGTATGCTATCTTGGGGTCTGGAAACCATGTTATAGCTCCCGGGCCCCTGCCGCAAGGGTGAGAGCGGAGGGAGGGGGAGAGAGGAGGTGTTAGACATACCTGAGGAATGACAGAGGGTTGACACTATCTAGTCTCTAGCAGGGGACTAGACCGAGCTCTCCCGGTGGTTGGGGCTGCCAGCTTTGTCCCTTGGGGCTACAAAAGGAATCCTGGGGGAGTCGCTCTCAGGATTGAAGGCCACGGTGGAGGTGGACCCGTGGTGATTGACGGAGGAAGAGGTGGAGGTGGGGGTGGAAGAGCAGAGGGGTGTAGTAGCCCGTCGTGGGGAGTGTGTAGCGGTCCTCCCCAGCGTGAGGGTGTGGTGGGTGTAAGGAGGGGGAGACAGCGTGCCCAAGACGTCTCGGGTGTACGGAGAGTCTCCTGCCGGAGCCTCGCGAGGATACGATCTGGGTAAGGTGGTTGAGGTGAGGTCGTGGGCGTACGAGGGCGGGAAGGGGGTATGCTCTGGGGCGTAATGGGCGTACACTGTGGGCTGGGTGGAGGCGGTGGTGCGGGCGGCGGGCGAAGAAGCGGCCAGTGGGCACCCCATATGTAGCATGGGGTCGGCCTCCCGCGTCATCAGCGACCCCTTCTGTATGGGGGACAGGCGGCAGCACATATTAGCTCGAGACCTCACACACACACACATACACACACATGGACATATGCGTATTCTCACGTGCATACACATGCCTATATACATATATGTGAATCTGTACATATTCTATAATTAATGCTAACAAGGTGGGGGGGGGGCTCACACCCACACACACACACAGTTAATGCCAATATTTCTGTAAGTCATTGCTGTAAACAACCGATGGCTAGAAAGGCGGGATCCAAGAGTCAGTGCTTGATCCTGCAAGCACAAATAGGTGAGTACAAATTGGTGAGCACACACACACACACACACACACACACACACACACACACACACACACACACACACACACACACACACACACACACACACACACACACACACTATAAAAATATATAATTCATAAACTCTGCACATATACACGCACACATACACATGCAAAAACATGCATTCACACATAAAGTAACCAAACACAATATACTGTATAGACCATGCACACATACACTCATGTGCACACACATGTACAAATACGCCCCCCCCCACACACATATATGTAAGCCCCCCCCCTCACACACACACATGCACGTGAAACTCGTTATCAACACTAACTAAATACCATCAAGCAACTCGGAAAATCTATAATTGTGTCCAATTAACATTTCATTTCGCATCCAGCAATCTACACTAATTTCAGTGCATAGTAACAAACCAACATTAGCATATGAACTATTTAAAGATCATTTTGAACTAGAAATCATCTAAGAACTAGAAACTCTAGATACAGACTCCCAAACTACCCTTCAAACCCTCCTGACCACTTGGGCTGGACGGTAGAGCGACAGTCTCGCTTCATACAGGTCGCCGTTCAATCCCCGACTGTCCACAAGTGATTGGGCACCATTCCTTCCCTCCCCATCCCATCCCAAATCCTTATCCTGATCCCCTTCCCTGTGCTATATAGTCATAATGGCTTGGCCTTTCCCCCTGATAATTCCCTCCCAAAGGTAAACACCTTTGCATTGAACAAACGAAATGGAGAAAAAAAAGTTTCTAAAAATGTTAGTAAGGAAGAAGAGTTGAGTGGACATCCGAAGACCTGAGTTAACCTGCCGGCCGGGGCGTGGCCAGGGACGTGAAAATGAGCGCCCATTAACAGGTCGTTGAGGTAATCTTGTGAGGGACAACTGGACTGTACAAAAGCATGGTCCGGAGGTCGACTCTCGCGCTCTAGGAAGACGAGGATTAGGAGGAGGAGGAAGATGTAGAAAAGACAAAGAATGAAAAGTCACCTAGTTAGGTTATATGTTGTTACTATGGTTATTATCTTATATCTGGAACACCAATCTGTGGTACTGTACGCGTTGCTCTGCGTCACCATTTCCTTACCAACAGCAGCGCCATCATGTGTGGTGGTGAAGGCCCCTGGTGCCGGGCCCAGGAGGCGAAGCCCCACTTGCTGTGTCCACCAGGTCAATAACACAACACTACACCACACCACCACCACACTACACCACACCACCACAACACTACACCACACTACACCACCACCACACTACACCACACCACCACCACACTACACAACACCACCACAACACCACCACCACACTACACCACACCACCACCACACTACACCACCACCACACTACACAACACTACACCACACCACCACCACACTACACCACACCACCACCACACTACACCACACCATCACCACACTACACCACCACACTACACAACACCACCACCACACTACACCACACCACCACCACACTACACCACCACACCACACCACCACAACACTACACCACACCACCACCACACTACACCACCACCACACTACACCACACCACCACCACACTACACCACACCACCACCACACTACACCACACTACACCACACCATCACCACACTACACCACACCACCACTACACTACACCACAACACAACATCGTACCTCCCTCAATACATAACAACTTTGTCCTGCATCGCGTCGTTTCCCTAAACATATCTTTAACGCACAACACAAATTATTTCCTTAATTCTAGCCTCATGTTGTCATATATTTTTTCTTGTTTTTTTCTGGAAAACGACCGTTTTCTTTCTCGCGGCCGTCACCCGTGTAAATTTACGACACTTTCTTTTTTTGTATGTATTCTCCACAAAGAAATTCGTGCCAAAGGCTACCGGGAATCTCAAGAATAAACATAAATTGCTTACTGCCAACAGATAACACAGTTATTTACCTGATTATGTTATACAGAGTTGGTTCCGGCATGAAGCGGGTAATTGAGCTAGTCTCCCCTAACACGAACGCCTCTTCCTGTTTTCAGTAACGCGATTGTAAACAATAGATTCATATTATGGTTTATAATGTAGGGTTGGAGAGTGGGGGAGTGTGTGGGGGTGGGGGGAGTGTGTGGGGTGGGAAAGTGGAGGTGTGTGTGGGATGGTAGAGTGGGGGAGTGTGTGGGGTGGGAAAGTGGAGGTGTGTGTGGGATGGTAGAGTGGGGGAGTGTGTGTGTGTGTGGGAGAGTGGGGGTGTATGGGGTGGGAAAGTGGAGGTGTGTGTGGGATGGTAGAGAGTTAACCATTCATTGTAATTCCAAATTTGTCCATGAATGTCAACAAAGGTACCTCGCGCGCCCTGAGTAGCTACAACGGATAAAATACGAGGTATTAAAACGCGCGAACGCCAGCCACCGACCTGACCAACGTGGAAGTCTGTGAGCTGCAACTCTTCATAATGCCGTGTATTTAGTCCGTTGGGGGATCGTAACGGACAAAATCTTGTATGTTGGGAACAATACACTCAAACACAACTTCTCTGGGCTTTTGAGCATGTGTGTGTGTGAAGTGACTCCTGGCTTCGTTACACGCTGGTAACACCACAATCACAACCAGGGGAACTCATGAGTGCATCTCCGAAAGCTACCATCACCACCACCACCACCAATATATCCTCCAACACTACCACCACCAATAACTCCAACACTACCACCACCAATATTTCCTCCAACACTACCACCACCAATAACTCCAACACTACCACCACCAATATTTCCTCCAACACTACCACCACCAATAACTCCAACACTACCACCACCAATATTTCCTCCAACACTTCCAACACCAATAACTCCAACACTACCACCACCACCACCCCCAATATCTCATCCAACACAAACCAATATCTCTAAAACACCACCACCACCACTTCCACCAGTATCTCCACCAACACTACAACCACCACCATTATTACCACCAGACCTGCTTCCTCCACTCCACACAACAACAACACGCTCCACATCAAACTATATTAAAATCGATGAAGGTAAACAAAGAGAGCGGCGGTGGAGCCTCACACAACTGAGAATTACTTCTCAAGTGACCGATCCTCTGACTGGGAGAGACACTGAGATGGGGAGAAGCGCGGTGAGAGATAACTAGGGGAATGAGAGAGAAGGTGAGAGAGATAACCAGGGGAATAAGAGAGGAGTTAATGAGATCGGGGATTGGTTGATGAGGACGGGATGTGGTTGATGAGGACGGGATGTGGTTGATGAGGACGGGCTGTGGTTGATGAGGACGGGATGTGGTTGATGAGGGCGGGCTGTGGTTGATGAGGACGGGCTGTGATTGATGAGGACGGGCTGTGATTGATGAGGACGGGCTGTGGTTGATGAGGGCGGGCTGTGGTTGATGAGGACGGGCTGTGGTTGATGAGGACGGGCTGTGGTTGATGAGGACGGGCTGTGGTTGATGAGGACGGGCTGTGGTTGATGAGGGCGGGCTGTGGTTGATGAGGACGGGCTGTGATTGATGAGGACGGGCTGTGATTGATGAGGACGGGCTGTGATTGATGAGGACGGGCTGTGATTGATGAGGACGGGCTGTGGTTGATGAGGACGGGATGTGGTTGATGAGGACGGGCTGTGGTTGATGAGGACGGGCTGTGATTGATGAGGACGGGCTGTGATTGATGAGGACGGGATGTGATTGATGAGGACGGGATGTGGTTGATGAGGACGGGCTGTGATTGATGAGGACGCCTGAAACATTTAAGTGTCGTAAGGTAAGATCAATATTAGGAGAAAGCACTAAGACATTACGAGTTGCCTTTCCCCCAAAGGTGTAGATCCACCATAATCTCCAACCTTTCCAATAGTCATCACCTTACACTTGTTGGGATTTAATTCTAGCATCCATTTGTGTGCCCACTCCCGGAGTTTGTCAAGCTGCAGGAGTCCTAGGGAGCTCCACCTGTCACCTTCGTCCAGTTCGACACTTGTGGGGGAGTGTGACCCTTTGTTTTCTATCCTTCAGATACTCCTTTAGCCAATTTAGGGGTGGAATGGTGGTGGTGAAGGCGTGGTGGTGGTGGTGGTGGTGGTGGTGGAGGCGTGGTGGTGGTGGTGGTGGTGGTGGTGGAGGCGTGGTTGTGGTGGTGGTGGTGGAGGCGTGGTTGTGGTGGTGGTGGTGGAGGCGTGGTTGTGGTGGTGGTGGTGGAGGCGTGGTTGTACACTGGGCGTGAGTTTGTTTACTAATCCACGTATCCACGTGCCACGAATCTCATTCTGCTCTAACCTATTAACCTGTATCGTCGAGTTTCTGGTGGAGTTGTCGGACCGAAGACCAGCCAATCACCAGTGAAGCCTGACTGAGACCAGACTGCAAGAGTAAAAGAACTCTCTCTCTCTCTCTCTCTCTCTCTCTCTCTCTCTCTCTCTCTCTCTCTCTCTCTCTCTCTCTCTCTCTCTCTCTCTCTCTTTCTTAAAATTTTGCCCCGAGGGGCGGGTTTATTGGGCAGCGCCACTCATCCTGAGAGTGAACACACCACCATAGCAACACGTACACTCCCCAATAGGAAGAAAACCCGCTGGGTTGTTTATCTTGTCACTTGTACCTCTCTCTCTCTCTCTCCCTCCCAACTCACCTGCCGAAGAAGGGTCCCAGGATTGATATAGAAGGAGCCGTCGTGCCCCTGCAGGTACTCCTTCATCTGCTGCTGGTGCTGCTGGGGACTGGGCGACTGCTGCTGCCTCGGGGAGGACGCCGGCGTGTGCTCCTGAAGGTGCAGGTCAGTCACTGGTTGCATCTTTGCTGTGTAGCTCTGCTGGGTCTCCTTCACCTGGTGGTCTGTGAGGGGGTGAGGGGGTGAGAGACGGGAGGGAGGGTCACAGACGAGAGGAGAGAGAGAGGCTGGTATCATAGAGGAATAGATTGGTTGTATGTCTGTAGAATACAGTGAGAATGGTGTATGACTGTAAAGTACAGTAAGAAAGGTTGTATGACTATAAAATACAGTGTGTAAGGTTGTTTGGCAGTATAATACAATAAGAATGGCTGCATAGCAGCAGAATACAATGAGAATGGCTGCATCGCAGCAGAATACAATGAGAATGGCTGCATCGCAGCAGAATACAATGAGAATGGCTCTATGGCCGCAGAATACACTTTTAGAATTGTTGAACAACTAAGATGAACAACGCTGCTTATAATCATACATGTAACAGCCTAATAATATCCATTATGTTTCATCCACTTATTCATCTCAATCACATCCTGAACCACCTCACCCCAAAAGAATATAAGCCTCTGCAAATGCATGGCAAATTTGTCTTTGAAAATGTAAGGAGTGCCTTGCGCAACGCATCCCTAGGCGTCAGACCATAATATAATGTGAAAATGAACTTTGGAGAGTTAATTTTTCAACCCCAAAACTACCCCAAGAGCTCACCATCATTGACGGGGATGAGATCAGGATTGTGGTCGTCAGTTGACGTACTGTCTTCGGGTCCTCTGAGGGGCACCGAGGCCCCTGACCCCTTATCGTAGACCATCTTGACCTCGGGTTTAAGGGGTCGAGGGCGCCTCGACCTGACCACCAGGGCGATGACCAGACCCATGAGCAGCAAGGAGGCAAGCACCCCCAGCAGCACCGCCAGGATGGGGGTCAGGGCCAGTGAGCCCACACCTGCAGGAGAGACAAGAAATGGGTGAGAACGCGGGAAGGGGGGAGTGGGTCGGTGGAATAGGTGATGGGGGGAAATGTGGGGGGTTATCACCTATCCTTTTTTTAAATCAACTGGGTGTTAATCACTCTCCACCTTTCAAGGTTTTTATCTACGTTTTCATCCACCCACGCCAGCACACACCCACGCCAGCACACACCTACGCCAGCACACACCCACACCAGCACACACCCACGCCAGCACACACCTACGCCAGCACACACCTACGCCAGCACACACCTACGCCAGCACACACCTACGCCAGCACACACCTACGCCAGCACACACCTACGCCAGCACACACCTACGCCAGCACACACCCACGCCAGCACACACCTACGCCAGCACACACCCACACCAGCACACACCTACGCCAGCACACACCTACGCCAGCACACACCTACGCCAGCACACACCCACACCAGCACACACCCACGCCAGCACACACCCACGCCAGCACACACCTACGCCAGCACACACCCACACCAGCACACACCCACGCCAGCACACACCTACGCCAGCACACACCTACGCCAGCACACACCTACGCCAGCACACACCTACGCCAGCACACACCTACGCCAGCACACACCTACGCCAGCACACACCTACGCCAGCACACACCCACGCCAGCACACACCTACGCCAGCACACACCTACGCCAGCACACACCTACGCCAGCACACACCTACGCCAGCACACACCTACGCCAGCACACACCCACACCAGCACACACCCACACCAGCACACACCCACACCAGCACACACACCCACCAGCACACACCCACACCAGCACACACCCACACCAGCACACACCCACACCAGCACACACCCACACCAGCACACACCCACACCAGCACACACACCCACACCAGCACACACCCACACCAGCACACACCCACACCAGCACACACCCACACCAGCACACACACCCACACCAGCACACACCCACACCAGCACACACCCACACCAGCACACACACCCACACCAGCACACACACCCACACCAGCACACACCCACACCAGCACACACACCCACACCAGCACACACCCACACCAGCACACACCCACCACAGCACACACCCACGCCAGCACACACCCACACCAGCACACACACCCACACCAGCACACACACCCACACCAGCACACACCCACACCAGCACACACACCCACCAGCACACACCCCACACCAGCACACACCCACACCAGCACACACCCACACCAGCACACACCCACACCAGCACACACCCACACCAGCACACACCCACGCCAGCACACACCCACGCCAGCACACACCCACACCAGCACACACCCACGCCAGCACACACCCACGCCAGCACACACCCACGCCAGCACACACCCACACCAGCACACACCCACACCAGCACACACCCACACCAGCACACACCCACACCAGCACACACCCACACCAGCACACACCCACGCCAGCACACACCCACACCAGCACACACCCACGCCAGCACACACCCACACCAGCACACACCCACACCAGCACACACCCACACCAGCACACACCCACACCAGCACACACACCCACCACAGCACACACCCACACCAGCACACACCCACACCAGCACACACCCACACCAGCACACAAACCCACCACAGCACACACCCACACCAGCACACACCCACACCAGCACACACACCCACCACAGCACACACCCACACCAGCACACACCCACACCAGCACACACACCCACCACAGCACACACCCACACCAGCACACACCCACACCAGCACACACCCACACCAGCACATACCAGCACCACCCACACCTGGAGTATGCGGCCCCAGCATGGAGCCCGTACCTTGTCAAGCACAACACGAAGCTGGAAAAAGTCCAAAGGTATGCCACTAGACTAGTCCCAGAACTAAGAGGCATGAGTTACGAGGAAAGGCTGCGGGAAATGCACCTTACGACACTGGAAGACAGAAGAGTAAGGGGAGACATGATCACAACCTACAAAATCCTCAGAGGAATCGACCGGGTAAACAAGGATAAACTATTCAACACTGGTGGGACGCGAACAAGGGGACACAGGTGGAAACTGAGTACCCACATGAGCCACAGAGACGTTAGAAGGAACTTTTTTAGTGTCAGAGTAGTTAACGGATGGAATACATTAGGCAGTGATGTGGTGGAGGCTGACTCCATACACAGTTTTAAATGTAGATATGATAGAGCCCAGTAGGCTCAGGAATTTGTACAGCAGTTGATTGACAGTTGAGAGGCGGGACCAAAGAGCCAAAGCTCAACCCCCGCAAGCACAAATAGGTGAGTACAAATAGGTGAGTACACCAGCACACACCCACACCAGCACACACCCACACCAGCACACACCCACACCAGCACACACCCACACCAGCACACACCCACACCAGCACACACCCACACCAGCACACACCCACACCAGCACACACCCACACCAGCACACACCCACACCAACACACACCCACACCAGCACACACCCACACCAGCACACACCCACACCAGCACACACCCACACCAGCACACACCCACACCAGCACACACCCACACCAGCACACACCCACACCAGCACACACCCACACCAGCACACACCCACACCAGCACACACCCACACCAACACACACCCACACCAGCACACACCCACACCAGCACACACCCACACCAGCACACACCACACACCAGCACACACCCACACCAGCACACACCCACACCAGCACACACCCACACCAGCACACACCCACACCAGCACACACCCACACCAGCACACACCCACACCAGCACACACCCACACCAGCACACACCCACACCAGCACACACCCACACCAGCACACACCCACACCAACACACACCCACACCAGCACACACCCACACCAGCACACACCAACACCAGCACACACCCACACCAGCACACACCCACACCAGCACACACCCACACCAGCACACACCCACACCAGCACACACCCACACCAGCACACACCCACACCAGCACACACCCACACCAGCACACACCCACACCAGCACACACCCACACCAGCACACACACCCACACCAGCACACACCCACACCAGCACACACCCACACCAGCACACACCCACACCAGCACACACCCACACCAACACACACACCCACACCAGCACACACCAACACCAGCACACACACCCACGCCAGCACACACCCACGCCAGCACACACCCACACCAGCACACACCCACACCAGCACACACACCCACACCAGCACACACCCACGCCAGCACACACCCACACCAACACACACCCACACCAGCACACACCAACACCAGCACACACACCCACGCCAGCACACACCCACACCAGCACACACCCACACCAGCACACACCCACACCAGCACACACCCACACCAACACACACCCACACACACACCCACACACACACACCCACAACGACCAAATTACACCATTCCCAGGCCCAGGGCGCCTGTTAGCCACCTGACAACCTCTGCGTCGACTGACAGCAAGTGTAATCCCTTACAAGAACTGACGATTGAAGGGGCCCTATCCCTCTCCTGTCCCCGGCTCTTCTATCTCCCTTCCCATCCCTGCCTCGCTCCTATCACTAGCCCCCTCTCCCCTCCCATCCGTCCCATCTCCCAGTCCACATCCAGTCTCCCATTCCCTGCTGGGAGGATTTTTCTCATTAGTATCTTCACTATTTCAACTGAAAGAATCGGGGGGGAGGGGGAGGAGGAGGAGAGAGAGAGAGGGAGAGAGGCAGATGGAGCAGAAAGGGAGAGAGAGAGAGGAGGGGGGGGGGGAAGGAGGGAGGAATAAAGCAGGAGAGAGGGAAAGAGTGCTCGTTTTTGTGATTGTAAAATGGACGGAACAGAAAGGAAGGGAGGGAGAGAGAGAGAGAGAGAGAGAGAGAGAGAGAGAGAGAGAGAGAGAGAGAGAGAGAGAGAGAGAGAGAGAGAGAGAGAGAGAGAGAGAAAGAGAAAGAGAGAGAGAGAGAGAGAGAGATAGAGAGAGGGCGTCGAAAACACACACACACACCCTACAGGGGCCTGTGGCTGAGTGGACAGTGCTTTGGACTCGTAATCCATGGGTCCAGATTCGATCCCCGGCGATGGCAGAAACAAATGGGCAGAGTTTCTTTCACCCTGATGCACCTGTTACCTAGCAGTAAATAGGTACCTGGGAGTTAGACAGCTGTTATGGGCTGCTTCCTGTGTGTGTACTCACCTAATTGTGCTTGCGGGGGTTGAGCTCTTGCTCTTTGGTCCCGCCTCTCAACCGTCAATCAACAGGTGTACAAGTTCATGAACACACTGTACACCACTGTGTGTGTGTGTGTATGTGTATATGTATGTGTGTATGTGTGTATGTGTGTGTGTGTGTGTGTGTGTGTGTGTGTGTAGTGTGAAAACAAATTAGTAGTTAGTAACACTTGATTGACAGTTGAGAGGCGGGCCGAAAGAGCGGAGCTCAACCCCCGTAAGCACACTTAAGTGAATACACACACACACACACTGCCTTCAGAAACTTGTGTAAGTGATCATTCAGTATACCTGAATCATTTGTATACCTCGTATGTCAGACCAATACTGTAGAATGCGGCTACAGCCTGGAGTCCACATATAGTCAAACACAAAACGAAGTTAGAAAAGGTTCAGAGGTATGCCACCAGACTAGTCCCCGAGCTGAGTGGAATGAGCTATAAGGAAAGATTACTGGACCTGATCCTCACGACACTGGAAGACAGAAGAGTTAGGGGAGACATGATCACTATCTATAAAATTCTTAGAGGAATTAACAGAGTAGATAAACTGTTTAACACGGGTGGTACGCAAACAAGGGGACACAGGTGGAAACTGATTACCCAAATAAACCACAGGAACGTTAGAACGTTTTCAGTGTCAGAGAAGTTAACTAATGGAATGCATTAGACAGTGATGTGGTGGAGGCTGATTCCATACACAGTTTCAAATGTAGATATGATAGAGCCCAGTAGGCTCAGGAACCTGTACACAGGTTGATAGATAGTTGAGAGGCGGAACCAAAGAGCAAAAGCTCAACTCCTCACCCCCCCCCCCCCAAGCACAACTAGGTGAGTACGCACTACAAGCAAGCAAGCAACAATTACACAACAGTGAGGAGAGAGGCAGAAAGGAACTTTGAACAAAGTATAGCGGACAAATATAAAGCAGATCCCCAGACCCTTTCTATAAATTCATTAAAAGAAAGTTGCATGTAAAGGATTAAATCCAGGGATTGAGAACGGGGAACCGGACTACTGAGAATGAAAAGAGTTTTTATGACAGAGCCACAGAGATACTACAGGAAAGAGCTGGTTGGGCTGACTGTGTCTATCAGACAATGTATCTGACTGGCACACAACTTCTAAATTATGTGGAAAGGAATTACAGAACTCTAATAAAGAAGGAGACCTGGGGATGGTTTTGGATAGTCAGCTGTCGCCAGAGGAACACACAAAGAACATTGTGAGAGGAACGTATGTGTCGCTTTCCAACTTCAGACTTGCTTTTAATTATATGGATGGTGAAATACTAAAGAAACTGTTCATGACTTTTGTGAGACCAAAATTGGAATATGCAGCAGTTGTATGGTGCCCAAATCTCAAGAAGCACATCAATAAACTGGAAAAGGTGCAACGGCATGCTACAAAATGACTTCCGGAACTGAAAAACAAGAGTTACGAGGAGAGACTAGAGGCGTTAAACATGCCAAAACTAGAAGATAGAAGAAAAAGAGGTGATATGATCACCACTTACAAAATACTAACAGGAATCGACCAAATTGACAAAGAGGAATTCCTGAAACCAGCAACTTCACGAACAAGAGGACACAGATTCAAGCTAAGGAAACAAAGGTGCCGAAAAAAATATTAGAAAGTTTTCTTTTGCAAACAGAGTGGTAGACGGTTGGAACAAGCTAAGTGAGAAGGTGGTGGAGGCCAAAACCGTCAGTAGTTTCAAAGCGTTATATGACAAAGAGTACTGGGAAGACGGGACACCACGAGCGTAGCTCTCATCCTGTAACTACACTTAGGTAATTACACAGCAGGCGCAAATAGGTGAGTATACACATGTACAGAGAGAGAGAGAGGGGTCGGCCGGCAGAGCGGACAGCACGCTGGACTTGTGATCCTGTGGTCCCGGGTTCGATCCCAGGCGCCGGCGAGAAACATTGGGCAGAGTTTCTTTCACCCTATGCCCCTGTTACCTAGCAGTAAATAGGTACCTGGGAGTTAGTCAGCTGTCACGGGCTGCTTCCTGGGGTGTGTGTGTGTGATGTGAAAAAAATAGGAGTAGTAGTAGTTAGAAACAGTTGATTGACAGTTGAGAGGCGGGCCGAAAGAGCAGAGCTCAACCCCCGCAAGCACAACTAGGTGAATACAGAGGGCCTCGCAGCTGAGTAGACAGCGCTCGGGGTCGTAGTCCTAAAGGCCCGGGTTTTATTTCCGGCTGAGGCAGAAACAAATGGGCAAAGATTCTTTAAACCTGATTAACCTGTTCACCTAGTAGTAAATGGGTATCTGAGAGTTAGACAGCTGCTATGGGCTGCTTCATGGGGGGGGGGGGAGAAACATATGTAGTAGACATAATAGAGGAAAAAAAAGATTGGTTAGAAAGGCGGGGTCCAAGAGCTAATAGCTCGATTCTGCAAGCACACATAGTAAACAAATAGTAAATACACACACACACACACATCCAGTTGATTGACAGTTGAAGGCGGGACCAAGGAGCCAGAGCTCAACCCCCGGAAGCACAACTAGGTGAGTAAACACACACACCAAACCTGTCTTCAGAGCTCCACATGAAAAGAATATCATCAGCGGCATATGCTAGGCTGGCCAATATGGGAACTCTCTTTAGAAACGTTAATAAACACACAATAACTGGAGAGACTGGAGAGGTATGGTGATAGACCAGTACCAGAGATAAAAGGCATGACCTGTAAGGAAAGATCAGAGTATGCCGCCCAGGCGGGGAATTGTGAACAAAAGATACAGACTTGAATAAGTCCAGAGCGTGTGTGTGTGTGTTTGTAGGTGAGCGACGGGTTCGGCTCCAAGGAACCTCAACACACACGCTTGAGGTGTGGCCTTGTACGGTGGTTCGAGCCCACCGCCCTCCTTCAATGGTTTTTTCACATATACACCACACTATTGTGATTTGAATCTGAGACCAGAGATATGGAAGGAGTGAGCACCACAGGAGTGAGCACCACAGGAGTGAGCACCACAGGAGTGAGCACCACAGGAGTGAGCACCACAGGAGTGAGCACCACAGGAGTGAGCACCACATGAGTGAGCACCACAGGAGTGAGCACCACAGGAGTGAGCACCTGGGTTGTTCCGGCAACAAAGAACAACCGTGGACATCTTCAAGAGAAAACTAGATAATTTTCTCCAAGGAGTGCCGGACCAACCGGGCTGTGGTGGGCATGTGGACCTGCGGGCCGCTCCAAGCAACAGCCTGATGGACCAAACTCTCACAAGCAGACGATGAGTCACAATAACGTGGCTGAAATATGTTGACCAGACCACACACTAGAAAGTGAAGCGACGACAACGTTTCGGTCCGTCCTGGACCATTCTCAGGACGATTGTGAGAATGATTGATTGACACAATCGACTTGAGAATGGTCCAGGACGGATCGAAACGTCGTCGTCGCTTCACTTTCTAGTGTGTGGTCTGGTCAACAAATTCTCACAAGTCAAGCCTGGCCTCGGGCCGGGGGGCTTGGGGAGTAGAAGAACTCCCAGAACCCCATCAAACAGGTAATCTGTGAGCAGACGCCAAGAACTCCACCTCGCCACACTTAAAGCAAACATCGAGGAGACATGATCAAGATATATATTTTTCAGAATTGGTAAAGTTGATTAAGAAGACACGTTTAATACAAAACCAACTCGAATTAACAGTAGAGAGGTATAAGGGCACATGAGACACAGGGATTATAGAAAGAACATTTAAAGGGTATGAGTAATGAACACATTAAATAAACTAGACGAAGGTCGTAGCAGCAAATACACACAAAAAAATAGTTTTTATAAACAGGTATGACAGGAAGGTCAGGTATAACAGGTCAGGTATAACTGCATTAATACAACACACAGCAGGTGAGCCGTGGCTCGTGAACTAGAGCTCGACCCAACAAGCACATTTAGCTAACACACACACACACACAGTAGTAAAGCACTATCTACCTACCTGGACTAGTTCTCTTCTCGGCCACATCCTTTAGGGTGAAAATCGCCATCCTCATAGGCTCTCCCTCGCCCTTCTTGTTCACCCCCATAATCGTCAACACATACTCGGTGCCAGGTTCGAGCCCCGTAAGAGTAAATTCTGGCTTGGGCGACGTGGAGGTGTTAGCCAGGACTCTGGGCGCGGCCTCCTTCCTCCTGTCGTGGGCGCTGGTGTGGGCGCGGGCGTGGGCGACGGACAGGGTGAAGGTCTGGGCGAGGCCCCCGTCCCAACCCGCCAGACAGCGGACAGAAGCGCCCGTCGAAGTCACATTGTCCACGGTGCAGTTGTTGACAGGATCAGGAGGGGCTGAGAGCGGCGGGTCAGAGAATCAGACACAAGCCAACATAGACAGACAGACAGACAGACAGACAGACAGACAGACAGACAGACAGACAGACAGGTATAAGGGATGCATCACACTTCTCTACGTGGACGGGACACTACAATTCTCTACGCAAGGCTGACAGATTAAGATGACATAATGATTGTCATTATAATAATTGGGTTGTAAGGGTCACTATTCATTACCAGATCAAGAGGCAAATTAATAAGATCATAGGTGCAGTCAAGACGGTCAAGAGGCTAGTACAAGAGGTCAAGAAAGTAATCAACACACCAGAGGGATAGTTGAAGTCAATAGACTACTTGGATAAGATAAGAATATAGTTCGCCAGGTCAAGAGGATGGTCATCTGGCCTAAAAAACCCTAAACAGATCACTAGATGATTTAAGGAGGCCAGTCAGAGAGACCCAAAGGCTAATTGAAGAGTTCAATAAGTTACCAGAAGAGGTCAATGAACTAGTTTACGAGCCTTGAACGTTAAGAAGCTAAGCAAAGAGGCTAATGAAGGGTCAAGAAGCTAGTTATAGCGAACAAGTGGTTAATGAAGGATCAATAAACTAGTTAAGTGAGCAAGAGGTCAATCAAAGATGTAAAGTAACGAAAGAAGTCAAGATGGTAGCCAGATATCAAGAGGTTAAGACTGACGATTGAATGGAATGGTTATTCTAGTCAGTGGAAGATTCACAGATAACACGATAAGAATGGACACCCTTAGAAATAGAGGACCCCATTGAAAAAGTGACTATAACTGCAAGGGAGGGAGAGAGAGAGAGAGAGAGAGAGAGAGAGAGAGAGAGAGAGAGAGAGAGAGAGAGAGAGAGAGAGGGGGGGGGGGGGTGCATTACTTGTACGTTGGATTAATATTCATAATTGTGGGTGACTTGAACTATGGCAAGCTAGACTGGACAAAATGGAAATCTAACGTGAACACAAATGTATGAAAAGCTGTAGGCCTCATATATGAAGTCTGTAGGCAGCAATAATAAATGTTGTAAACCAATCTTGAGGTTATCTTGAGATGATTTCAAGGCTTTAGTGTCCTCGTGGCCCGGTCCTTGACCAGGCCTCCACCCCCAGGAAGCAGCCCGTGACAGCTGACTAACACCCAGATAACTATTTTACTGCTAGGTAACAGGAGCATAGGGTGAAAGAAACCAATGCATAAAGGAGCCCACAAAAATAAGAGACAGGGATTTAGTAGCCTTACGTGCCTGAAATTCTCTCACAACAAGTTAGATATAGGCCAAAGGAAAGCTTAATTTCAAACCCCATTATGTGAGACTGCATAGTGTTAAATAATTAAATTTAATAGTGAGAAAATAACATAATATAGAAGGCTGCCACAGAGCAGGTAAACCATGAGGGAATCATTACATTACCAACTCGTCCTCCTAATAGAACCTCACAATTTGATATATACTCTAAGGCCAAAAATTCTCGTACTAGAAAAAATGGAAGCGGCTCGTGAAATTGACATACTGTCCTGTTTTGGGTCCTCTGGTAGGTTGAGATAAGGGGGCATTTTAATACAACAGTTTCTTGACGTTGGGGAAACCTTAGGAGGACGAGCTGACATTACTGGCAAGGATTCCATGAGATGTATAACTAAGCAGGCAGCCTCCACAAGGAATGGCGTGCTTGGAAATGCCCAGACATGACACTGAAAGACAGAAATAACTATGCTCTTACCAGTAGTGTGAGCAAGCATAGCTCATATGTATGACAGCATGAGAAAATATTGGATGTAAAGGACGATAGGAAGCACAGAGTAACACAGAAAAACACAGGTATAGAAATCACGAGAATTAGGAAAACGTCCTGAAAGTTGGAAGATAGCCAATGCAGTGAAAATATACTACAAAGTAGAGAGCAAGGTGGACAATTTAGAGAAGAGTACCGTTACATGCTTGCAAGTTGATGGAGAATATCTCACAAATGACTAAAATAGACCTGAATAGAGAGATCATTATAACCAATCACCAACACGGTACAGCAATGACAACTCTGACCTCATATCCCTTATAGAACACAGTGACAGGCCCACAAACATCAGAGAAGTTGGAGAGTTCCTAAGCAAGGGAAGAGAAGGCTCAGTCAAGGTACTAAGAGCTCACCAACATCGTCCCAAAACTTGACATGGCTACATAGTCATAATGGCTTTGCACTTTCTCCTGACAACTGCCTTACTCCCAAGCTACAATTGTAGAAAAATAACTCTAGATTTACACACACACACACACACACACACACACACACACACACACACACACACACACACACACACACACACACACACACACACACACACACACACCTTTCCAACAAACATTGCCACCACAGTTAGAATTAACACTTTATCTTTATGTAGAGCTTATATAAACTTTTCTCCCTCTCCTCCCCCCTCATCTTTCACCCTCAGCATCCAACTCTTCTCATCTCGCTGCCATAATGCTCACCAAATGTTGTGAAGCTGGAAATCCTCCTCACACACTTACCAACTACATGTATTTCACACATCTTGTTAATATAAAGTTCATGCTGTATAATACACATTTATAAATGTTACTATTATTATTATTATTAAACACACTATATATATATATATATATATATATATATATATATATATATATATATATATATATATATATATATATGTCGTACCTAGTAGCCAGAACTCACTTCTCAGCCTACTATGCAAGGCTAAATTTGCCTAGTAAGCCAAGTTTTCATGAATTAATTGTTTTTCGACTACCTAACCTACCTAACCTAACCTAACCTAACTTTTTCGGCTACCTAACCAAGCCTAACCTATAAAGATAGGTTAGGTTAGGTTAGGTAGGGTTGGTTAGGTTCGGTCATATATCTACGTTAATTTTAACTCCAATAAAAAAAATTGACCTCATACATAATGAAATGGGTAGCTTTATCATTTCATAAGAAAAAAATTTGAAAAAATATATTAATTCAGGAAAACTTGGCTTATTAGGCAAATCGGGCCTTGAATAGTAGGCCAAAAAGTGAGTTCTGGCTACTAGGTACGACATATATATATATATATATATATATATATATATATATATATATATATATATATATATATATATATATATATATATATATATATATGTCGTACCTAGTAGCCAGAACGCACTTCTCAGCCTACTATGCAAGGCCAAATTTGCATAATAAGCCAAGTTTTCATGAATTATTTGTTTTTCGACTACCTAACCTACCTAACCTAACCTAACTTTTTCGGCTACCTAACCAAACCTAACCTATAAAGATAGGTTAGGTTAGGTTAGGTGGGGTTGGTTAGGTTCAGTCATATATCTACGTTAATTTTAACTCCAATAAAAAAAATTGACCTCATACATAATGAAATGGGTAGCTTTATCATTTCATAAGAAAAAAATTAGAGAAAATATATTAATTCAGGAAAACTTGGCTTATTAGGCAAATCGGGCCTTGCATTGTAGCCTGAGAAGTGAGTTCTGGCTACTAGGTACGACATATATATATATATAATGTTGTTGAATATAACCGAAAAGGGTAAGATTAATAATTCTAACACGAATCTTCTCAATATTTCTTACGTTCTTCTTCACTGTCGAGGATAATTGACCTGGTGTCCTGTTTACGAACTTCTACATGGGTACCATCGAGCAGAGGGACTTGACTGACATGGGCTTGAAACCCCGTCATATACTGCAAATATGTTGACGACATTTTTATGCAGGTACCTAATGTCAGATGTCTGCAGCAGCTGAAGGAGGCATTCGAGCAGAATTCTGTGTTGAGTTTCACGTACGAGATGGAGAATGATGGGAAGCTGCCCTTTCTAGATGTAACAGTCACGGAAACGAGCGGAGGCTTCCACACTGCTGTCTACACTAAGGAAACATAGGAATGTGCCTCAATGCCAATAGTGACTGCCCAGACAGGTACAAGAGGAGTGTTGTCAACCCTTACGTCGACCGGGCTCTCAGCCACAGCTCAGGATGGAAGCAAGTCGATGAAGAACTCTGTAGGGTAAGGCAGTTCCTAGTCAACAACGGCTTCTCTAACGGTTATGTTGAAGACATCATTAAAAGAAAGGTGGAACACCATGCAACCTCTGAAGAGTCAACTAACACAACACTTGTTCCCCTATTAGACTGTTTTACAGGAACTTCTTTTCGACGGCTCATAAAACGAAGGAAAGGGTCCTGATTGGTAGGAACGTTATCCCTACAGACAAAAATCAGAAAATACAATTGACAATTTACGACAAAAACAAAAATACAACCAACCTACTCATGAAAAATTCGCCAGACATCAAACAGAACGCCCTGAAGGAAACCAACGTCGTCTATGCCATCACATGCCCGCTTGGGGACTGTAAGCCCCAAAGAACTCAGTATATAGGCAAGACAACAACGTCTCTTTCCAGGCGATTAACTATGCAGAAACAACAGGGGCTTCATCAAGGATCATATAATCTCTTCTCACAACCAGACCATCACCAGAGAAAGCTTAACAAGCAACACAGAAATAATCGATAAATACAGCGATAGCAGGAGACTCGGCATCAGCGAGGCACTACACATCAAAAAGTCAACACCAGCAATCAACAGCCCATTAATGCACAACTATATTCTACCCACTTCAAGATCCCACACCAACATAGAAGCAGCAAGAGGAAGTATGGGCTAATAGGCCTTCTGCAGTTACTTCCATTCTTATATTTTCATACCCAATTTATACCCACTGATTCGTGTTCTGGCATAGCTCTGTATGAGTATACGAGTATAAGTATGCTGTATTTTATGTATAAACTAAGTCTTTGAAAATGTAATAAGCATTACGAAACACGTTCAGGCGTCAGATCAGAAATAAAGAAAGAATTTTGGAGAGTTAATTTATCAATTACCCTCGACAGTGAAGAAGAATGTAAGTAATATTGAGAAGATTGTGTTAGAAA